TCAGAGAGGAGGAGGAAACAGAATTAACTAGTGATGAGTGTTAGTTAGTTAAAGTGAGAGCAGCTCAGAGAGGAGGAGGAAACAGAAACTCCAGCTCGGTACAAACCAACTGCAGCTTCAGCTCTGATCATGAAGCAGCTGTGACCAGAGAAACTCTGTGTTTCACTGTTTCCACTGTTCTTCAACTAAGTCACTGACCTGCTGCTTCACCTGAACGCTCCTCTGCTGAGCTCACTGTGTGTGTCACTCTGAGCGAGTGGGTGGGGGCAGGTATGGGAATATGAAGCGGGTCATTCTGCGCATGTGTTAATGCGTTTAAAAAAAGAATGCGTTAATTCCACCAATTAATCATCCCAGGTTAATGTTGACAGCCCCACATGATTTAAAACATATTACAATAAGGAACAATATATGCATATATATAAAAGTATTTTTTGACTCCAGCCAGCCTTACGCTATTTTCCACCTTTGTCAGCATTTTCTGTGAAAAGATGTGTGAGGTTAGGTAAAATGTAATAACAATTTAATTACAAGTACTAAATTAAGAAACAATTGATCCATTATCAAGTAACACTGTAACATATATTTTACAATAAAAACCCTTTTTAAACAAAAGAACGGATTTGGTCAACAGAAACGGTGGAGTGCTTTTATTTTGAAACGTCCACAGAAAGTGTTTGTGACATAAATTCAACAGATAAACATTAAAATGCAGCTGAAAGATCATTTTCTCTGTTTGTTCTGATATGAACCACAATGTTTATCTGTCTATGTTGCAAACGTATTCACAACCCTTCCCGAACCCGTGTTGATGTAAATGCACTCCAGCGTTTAACTTTCTGAATCTATTCATTTGTTCACGGCTCTTTGATAGTTATTGATACCGTAGAGTCCTGACATTTAGTTTAGTACATAACTCGACTTGTATTGAAGGAAATGCGGGAGATACACCAGAAGCTCCGCCGCCAGCAGCAGACACAACGCGCATGTGAACAACAGACAACCGACACACAGCTGATCTGCAGTCAGTGAGTCAAGAGAGTAGGTTCTTCATTTACTAACCGAACAGTGTGAAGTTAAATCCACGGTCCAAAGCAGTTTTCACAAGTCAAGGATTCTCTCTGTCTCTGCTTCTCTCTCTGTGTCTTTGTGTCCGATGATGGGGTCGGGGTGAATTTACTGAAATTCAGTCCTGAGGTGTCACAGCAGGTTCAGAGTGGAAAGTAAAGAGTTCATACATTCACACTGAGAGATTTCATTTAAAGACACTTCCTTATGACACTGTTTTGACACCAACTATTACTGAGTTAAATATAAGAGTTTTGACTCAGAGTATAATTCACCTCACTTTTGCTCAAATTTGTCAAACACCAAAAATATAACTCTTTTGAATTTGCTGTGTGCTCCCTGCAGCGGTAAGGATCAGGCTGTGATTGGTTGATTAACTAATCAAAGTGATCAGCTTCAGTCACATGGTCAGATCAACAGGACCACCTCCGTGTCACTGATGCATTGTGGGATAAGTTTGTCCCTTCCCCCCCAGGATGAATGTAACCGCAGTGGAGGGAAATGGATCATTCGTCTACGTAAAGGTCTCGCCAGTCGCTTCTGGGAAAACATCATTCTCGCTATGGTGGGCGAGCAGTTCATGGTGGGAGAGGAGATCTGTGGAGCAGTGGTCTCTATACGCTTCCAGGTAAAAATACTGCAGTAATACTACAGTTATACTACAGTTTTACTCAAACTTTGTTATCATTCTACAGTATTCCTTAACAGGTTTTTCAGAAGAGAGAGCTCTCACCTCCCCCAAGTACAATAAAATGATTATATTACTGCAGTATTATTCACTATTACTGCAGTATAACTCTAGTGCTATGCGGACAGTCTGGTGTCTGGTCTGGACATGATGTCAGACCTGTCTGTATGTAACCTGTCTGTCTCTTACCTGTTTCTTCGTCCCTTACCTTTCTGTCTCTGACCGGTCCGTCTGTCTGTCTGTATCTAACCTGTCTGTTCTTCAGGAGGACATCTTGTCGATCTGGAACAAAACGTCTAACGATCAGACGACGACATCCAGAATCAGAGACACGTTGAGACGAGTCCTGAACCTTCCAGCGAACACCATCATGGAGTATAAGACCCACAACGACAGCCTCAGGTGTGAATTAGTGTCACAGCTGCTCACACTTATTGACTATATTGATGATGTCACTGTTTATAAACACGATGAAGATTTAAAATCACTGAATAACTTTAACTTTGATCATTAAAGGCACAGAGTCTCATGACCACATAATCACATGATGGTTCAGTTACATGTGTTTGGCGTGTGATCAGATCAACACGAGTTTCATTAGTTCTGTGACGGTGAGACTGAAAACATGTAAACGGTCTGTATTGAGTCTACTATTTATTCTAGTCCTGGTGACATTCAAAGCCTTCTTACAGTTTTAACACACATTCATACAGTGCATCTATTTGCAGCACTTTTTTCAGAGTAACTTCAGGTTTAATGCAGAGTTTTCAGTTTTATGAAGCTCGTTCCCTTGTTATCGGGTAAATCACCATGGTAACATGCTGAACAGCTGACCGGCTCCAGGTTAAGATGGAGATAAGAGATCAAGCAGTGTAAAAGCTCCACCCACTGACCACTCCCTTTCTTTGAACCATGACATCATGTTCTTATCGTGGTGTGGATCGTTCCAGTCTCTGAGGAGGACCAGGGTCTTCAGAGACCCACAAGATCCTTTGAGATCCTCTGAGGAGTTTCTGAAAGATCTAGATTCTCCTCAGAGGATGAACCTTTGTCAGCTGCTGGAGCTCCAACAGAACCAACCTGACCCGTAGGAGCAAAGTACTCACAGTACCACAGACTGTCTACATGTACTTCACTTACTAACACTGATGTACTGGGAGTGTTATCGGGTGAGAACCACACATACTTTAGTACTTTGATCCTTTAAGTAGCTTCATCCTCTGAAATAAAATATTAATTCGGGGATAGATAGTTTACAGATTTACCTTGTGACAGCCCCCCCTCTTCTCTCTGGGACTCGAACACTCACCAATGACTCTACACTGTTGTGTGGTGCACACTCTCCTCAAAGGGACGGATAAGAGACGTTTAAACAACGTCTGGTTGGTTCAGTTGATCTCTAACTCAGTCAGTACGTCTCAGTCTCTCTGTCTCCAGATGCTCTGACTCGTCCTGTCACCAAAACAACAAATACACTCAGTCAGGTCCTGAAAATAGGTCCATGTGTTTTTATTGAGTAGTGACGTCAGACGTTTCCACCAGTGTGTCCTCAGAGTCAGTGTGTGTCCTTAGAATAGTAGATGTCCGTCAGCACATGCTTTTATTTCAATAGTACATCAAATTATTTTATATTGGCCTGTTGGTTTAAATCTCTGTAAGAGTATGTGGTGGAAATTTATCTCAAGATAAATAAAGAGTTTCTCAGACCGTCTTTAGGTCATTTAATAGAAAGCTCTGCAGAGGGTTTCACACTCAGCATGAATGCTCAGAGTGGAATTACCCCGAATAGGGAAAGAAGAAGGTTTTATACAATCAGGTAAACAGGAAACATAAGAGACAACTGTTTCTGAGTAATAGCGTGAAAAACTGAAGCCACCTGTAGTCTGGTTAACACAGGATGCTGTCTGCTTTTGCTTCTGTATGAAAAAAGAAGTTTGCTACTGCAAAGATCAGGGTCAACAAGAGGATCATCATCAAGAAAGGACATGAACTCTGAGGTTACATCTGCCAAGTGCATAGCAACAGTCACGGCATTGAATAGTCAAGGGTAAAAAAGTAAAAGGTGGCTGTCTAGTTTCGAATCGTCCGTTTGCACGTACGCCAGACAGTTCCTCTTATGAAGCACAATTGTGTCTCTATATGAGTTATTGTTGGACACAGCACACGAGCATTGATCAGACGTGGAAAGAGTTCAAGCAAAGTTCATATGCAAGTTTTCCATTACAAGTATTTGTGTAACCCCTTCACGGGAGGAAAATGTCTGATGTGCATGCGCTCACTGAGGAGGATGGAGTTCCGCCATATTTTCAGTAGCTAGTTGCCTCTCCCTCGTCGTGAAATATGAGGCTCTGCTGTCAGTCAAACTTGTCCATGTCAGTGATTGGTCATATTCCATAAACCCCGCCCCTTCAATGTGCACATGCTCATATCTAGAGTCGGAGACCCTGCATTGACTTCAGGAGTTGATGTGACCACTTAGCCTCACTGTGTTCGTTAGGTTAAGTTCAGCCTGTTTACGGAAAAGACATCCGGGGTATGTTGAGCTCGCCTCGTACTGCAGACCGCTGGTGATCGATTGATGGATGTTCTGTGTGTTTTTGTTTCAGGGACAACTCGAGCTTCAGAAACACAAAGATTTCCCTCTGAAGACCCTGACGTCCAATCAGGACAAAGATGTGTGTGTGTTTGTGCTGTGGATGTGTGTGCGTGCGTGTGCGCTGTGTGCGTGTTCAGTGTGTGTGTGTGTCTGTCTGTGTGTGAAGAACATCAAAATAGTTTGTTTTGAACATAAATATGAAAATGACTTGAGAAATAAAAAACAAGATGAAACATCAGGTGTCATGTCCATGACTCCAATCATCAATAATGAGGCGGGATCAGGTTAATTCATTAGTCCCAGGTGGTGGGTTAGTACAGGTTAGTACATGTTGGCTAGTACGGGTCAGTGTAGATAGGTAATTACAGGTTAGTTAGTACAGGTTGATGTGGGTCTAATCCTGCCTCTATTCTTGGCTGCAGACCAAATGTGAGCTCTGAGGATCAAACTAATCCAGATCAGGATTAACTGAACCAGGCACGAAACACTGACACACACTCGGACACACATACATACACAGAGTAATATGAATAAAGTGTCCTGTTTTCAGATGAAACTAGTTGGTTTTGTTGTATTGGTTGTATTCAATCAGATTTACTTGTTTTACATAATTAATATGTAACTTTAATATATATAATCGGTGTGTAATTTTAGTATGATGTATGTAATCAGCAGGATCATGATTATAGTCACATGACTTAGACAAACAATATAACTTCATTACGACTTTTCTGTTTCCTCTTAAAAGGTTTTGTTGATGAACCAACTGTGAATATCAGCTGCACAAATACAATTTGATTTGATATATAAAGTGATTGATTGATTGAGCTGTCTCCTATGACATCAGAGGGAAGATGATGATGTCATCAGTCAAAGATTGATCAGGTTAGAAGTTGAGACCTTCACACACGGACACATGAACAGGAAGTGATCGTCTCATTACAAAATGAAGCTGAAGCCAAACTTCCCCCTGAACCTTTAACTAGATTAAACAAATCCTCTCTCTCACTGTGTGTCTATGTCTCTCTCTCGCTCACTGTGTCTCTCGCTCCCTCCCTCTCTCTCTCACTGTGTGTCTTTCTCTATTGCTCTCTCTCCCTCCCTCTCGTTTGACCTGACATCATTTCTCTTCATCTAAAGGTTTTTTTTTGTCGTTTCAGATGAAACTGAAGTTTTTTCGGTAGGTAACTGTGTGTGTGTGTGTGTTTGTGTTTGTGTGTATTGCAGTCACTTTTTATTTAAACTAGTTATGTAAACTACAACCAGTTATTTAAACTAGTTCCCTGAACTCTGCTGATCTTAGCAAGTTAATCAGAGGCTTCATTGATCAGATTGTTCTGTTTGTGATTCATTATCCTGCTGTCAGCTGTGATGTCATCAGATCATAACGAGCTCTAAATTAAATTACTACTAAACATTAATTGAATCAGTGTCACAGTAAAGCTGACAGCTGATTGGTCAAAGTAAAAGTAACAGTACTTCACTCTACAAGTTTTTACAGTAAAAAGAAATAATCATAAACTAATCTCTTATCTTCTGTTTATTGATGTTTTCTTTTTAATGATTAGTTTTGATGTTTCAGTGAAAATCTCATAATTTTTTATGGTTTAATACACTGACCTTATTCATAATGGACGCTGGAGCCTGTCTCAGGTTCTAAATCTGGTCTCTGTGGTTTCTGGACCTGGACCTGATCTCTCAATGATGTAATCAGGTGTATTTATGACATCACCAGGCAGGTGTATGATGTTACTTAGTGGTCGTGCTGTCAGTGTCTCAGAAAGCTGATGACATTTTGCCTTTGTCAGCTTGTGTTAAGAGCGTTAGCATTGATGCTATACTTAGCATTCTTAGAGCTTGTTAGCATTAGCCTGAAGTATTAAAGGTCAAAGGTCACAGCAATCAGCGTGGTTCAATCACTGTGGACGGCCAGAGACGTTCTGGGAGAAACAGAACTGTCATGAGAATATATATAGATAATATTGAATATATAAAGGCTTTAAATGATCAATTTTAGGTTTAATATACGTATTGTCATAGAGTTTTCATAGACACTGTCTCGTGTCCTTTCTGGGCCAGAGTGCAACAGGCTGTTGTGTTTGGGAAGTGCGAGAGCTTGGCGAAGGTCAAAGCCTTCACTCACTAGACATCACAGATATGAGACTGTGATCAGGCAACACTGTCTCCAGAACCAGAAACTACATTTGATTGTTTAGGAACGAGCAGACCCACAGATTAAATGATCTGTTGGGGTTTAAAGTGTGACGACAGGAAAACAGACTTCAGAATATGAGAGAGCATCATGCTCAGATGTTGTGTGGATGAATTCTGATTTTCTCCTTGGTCAAGCATCAATAAATATTTCAGCATAAGACGTCAAAGGGCTCCTGGACGCTTTCTTCATTTATGAGGTGACCATTGATCAGCAGATTTTCCACAACACGTATAATCTATCAAATATTCAAATGATATAAATAACCTGTCTGTAATTTAATATGCATACTCACCCTAATTCTTAGTACACATCTAATCTGTTTAATATTTGTTTGTAGTTTAATATACATATCATGTGTAAAATGTATTCAATAATTGAATCTAATTTGTATCGCACCGAATCAGAGGGGGCGAGGGGGTGGCAGCAACAGTTGTGTAACCATCAGGTTTTAGCTCTGACTCGTTGAAAACAATTCGAGTGATAATTATAGATGTAAAGATGCTATTAATGAGCTACAATGCAAATAATAACAATAATAATAACAATAACAATAGTTGTCTTAATCTGCAGCTCTGGAGTCAGAGAGAGAGAGAGAGAGGAACTGTGACAAGTAGTAAATAAATAAATGTGGGGCCACAGAAACAGAAAGAAGAGCTCAGTGCATGATGGGAGTTTCCCCAGTCTAGACCTAACTAACTAAGTAAGTAGGGAATCGTGAAATCGCTTAATATGTGAGGAGCAGGATCTTTTTACAGGGAGTCCATGCAGAGAAGCTAAGAGGTAATATGATCTCTCCTTCTAGTTCCTGTCAGCACTGCTGCAGCATTTTGTAACAACTGGAGGCTTTTCACAAACTTCCTGTGACATCCTGATAATAAAGATCTTATATCTCACATACAGACCTAGAAATATTCACACCCTCATTTCCTCTCATCTCAACTACTGTAACTCCCTCTATATATTTTCAGGTCTTACTCAGAAATCAATCCACCTCTATAGTTTGTCCAGAAATCTGCTGCTCAGCTTTTAACACAATCCAATATAAAACCATATCATCCCTGTTTTAACATCCTCACACTGGCTGCTTATTTATTTAACCCTAACCCTTAATAATAATGATAATAATAATAATAATAATAATTACAGACTTTATTTAAAGAGTGCTTCTCAAAGACACTCTACAAATGTTCAAATTAACATAAAAAGCTACACACATAGAAAACATAGAACACACAACATACATCACACATTAAAAGCAGTTCTGAAAAGGTGAGTTTTGATTTGTGATTTGAACATTGTAAGATTGGTGCAGTCTCGGATGTGTGTGGGGAGAGAGTTCCAGAGGGAGGGGGCAGCTATAGAGAAGGCTCTGTCTCCGCAGGTCTGGTGCTCGGTCCTGAGTGGATGGGACAGGAGCTTACTATCAGATGAGCAGAGCCGAGGTTGGTGGTTGAGCAGCTTTATGAGTGAGGAGAAGGGTCAGGGAGCCAGTGGAGATTCTGGAGAACAGGGGTGATGTGATCATGGTGGTATTGCTTTCAAACATGACTCTGAGGTTGCGGGTATGTAGGGAGGGGGACAGAGGGGAGTTGTCCATGCTGAGGGAGAAGTTGTTACTGGTTTTAGTGAGGGATTCTGGACCGATGATGATCATATCAGATTTATCACAGTTTAGTTTGAGGAAGTTGGTTTGCATCCAAGATTTAATGTCAGTGAGGCAGTTGGTCAGAGTGGAGTGAGTAGCAGTGGGGATGGATTTAGAGGAGATTTAGAGCTGGACATCATCAGAGTAGCAGCGAAAGTTGAGACCATGCTGACGTATGATATTACAAAGAGGGAATCAATAAATTAATAGAGGATGAACGGGAGAGGACCAAGCATCAAACCCTGGGGGACGCCTTGGGACAGAGGGGCAGTGGAGGAGATGCAGTTGTGAATACTGATGAACTGTTGTCTGTAAGATTTGATCTAAGCCAGGAGAGAGCAGTACCGGTGATCTTGAGGGAGGATTCAAGGCGGGAAAGAAGAATGTTGTGGTTGATGGTGTCAAAAGCTGCAGTGAGGTTGAGGTAGAGGAGGATGTTGAGGATTGATATTAAATTATTTTAATCACATTTCAAGCCAAACATGGGCCCTCACCATATCTCAGACTTTTATCTTCCTATGAGCCAGGACTCAGTCTGAGATCCTCTGGTAGGACGTTGCTATCTATTCCAAAATCTCGGCTGAAAACCAAAGGAGACAGAACCTTTGTCGTGAGGGAACCTTTTCTTTGGAACAATCTGCCAGAAGAAATTAGATAAGTTTTATTTCTCTTCTTTAGACACCTCTCTATAAAAAAGCTTTAATTGCATGTCGAAGAGTTTTATTATTTGAATCTTTATTCATTTATTTTTTTTAATTTGTTTTTGGCTCTAGAACTGTTTGTTGTAAAGCACTTTGACATATTGAAAAGTTTTATAAAAATGAAGTTATCATTGTTTTAAATTATGAACAATCGGTCAGTGCTTACTTGCCTTTACAGAAACTGCTTGAAGAAGCCGGCTGCTGCTTTGATGAACGATGCTTTACTGTATCTGAATGAGCAGTGTGGCTGTTTTCAGGCTCATTTGCCCGTGTTGCCATGGTGGCAAAGCTGCTGCTTTAAGCTACTGTTTAACTAGTTGTCACTTTCCTTTTCATGGGACATTGTAGATCTTTTATGTCTCAAAACAATGGGTCCTATTCTGGGTTTGCCTGAGGCGAATTGCTCAAGAAAGTAGAGCCTATCCTGGCTACTACTGGTTTGATCTTCAATTAGGTGTTCAAATGCTTGCATACAGTCATGATACAATCACCATCGAACACTGTAATGTCCCTAGCTAAGGTTTTCATGAGTGTCATGGCGATGGACTAAATAATCTGCACTATGTTTTGAGGGAGACTGTGTGGTTGGTTCCTGAGCCCTGTGCTGGTCTAAAGGAGTTCTGTATAAACTCCACAGAAACTTCAAAGTCCAAAAATTCTATATTTTCTCTATTCTTTTGTTTGCTGGCTTCACAATAAGCTCTTTATGACTCCCTGACTTTGATCATACATTTCCAGACTTTGAAAGACTTTTATTTTAGCAGCTGATGCTGCAATTTCTGTGTCCAGCTCCATTTGCTCCAGTTTGGTTTTTAGCTTTGCCTCTTGACGTTGAAGTGCATGTTTGTCTTTAATGCTGTGGCACGAGCCAGCAGAGCAGCATTTTCAGCAACTGCTTTCTTACATGCTGAGGAGACTCAGGCTTTTGATCCATTTGATTTAAGTAACACGTTAGAAGTGCTGTCCTGGGTGTCTATGCATGACTCTGCAGTTTTTTTCTTTTTTCCATGTCTCAGCCTCTTTCAGAAATTATTCAAAATGAATCGTTTTGGCTCATACGAGTCCACATGCTCCTCCTCCATTTCCTCCTCCGATAGGAGCTTTGGCAGAGATTGATAAGCATTATTGAGTTGATTGACAGCTTGATTAAATGTTTCCAAATATTCTTCAACATGATCAACATGTTTTCAAGTGTTTTCCACCATCAGTGCTAACTCTAACCAAGACTGTATGTAATCCGTCTGTAGTTTAATATACATATATGTTCAATCTGTAGTTTTTTGTATCTGTTTTATATTTATAGATGTTAATTTCTTAGTGTTCGTTTTTTGATGAATATCTCTGTTGTTGTCACCATGACTTTGTTGTTTCCTGTTTTATTTTGAAGCCTCTTCCCTTGCATGTCTTTGACGTGACTTCCTGTCACTTCTTCACATGTTCATGTTTCACGCTGTCGTTTCTTTCTTTGAAGTTTGAAGTTTTAATTTCCTGACACCTGACGTATGAGTCTGTTTTTATTTTCAATAAATTCTCCTTCTCATTTTAATTCATTAGAACCTTGATTCTGTTTTTTGATGTGTTGCTCTCTCAGGTGTGAATTTAATGTTTTTTATTGTTTTTGCAGATTGTCAAGATGTGGCTTCCTCTGTGGTTGCTATGTGTGTGTGTGTGGTTGCTAAGCATCACAGAAGTTTGGGCAGCTACTTTCAAGCTGGCTCTGATTGGTCCATGGTCATGTGACCCCATATTCTCCCGGGCAATGCCAACGGCAGCAGCTAACCTGGCGCTGTCACGATTACGGAGCGACAGTAGCGTGAGCAGAGGGTATTGGTACGATGTGAAACTGCTTGATGAAGACTGCTCCACTTCCAAAGGTTTGATCAGATGTGATGAAAAATCATCATCAAGTTTTTTAGCATATCAGACAAAGACAGCTCTGTCTTATTTTAATAAATGAACTGCAAGTTTTTAAATGCATCATTTTACCTTTGCTGAATTCTGTTTACATTTAAAAAATATTTTTTTATTGTAATCATGAAACTTTTTCTTATTCTCTGGTTTTATGACAGCTCTGACAGAACTTGGAGAGATGGAGGGTTATGGTCACGCCTACATTGGACCATTTAACCCCGCCCTCTGTCATGCGGCATCCTTATTGGCTCAGCACTGGGAGGTGGGGCTTGCCTCTCCAGGCTGTCTAGATACTAATTGGCTGAACCTGCCGCCCATCACTCCTCCCAGCAGGGTTCTGTTTACCGTGCTCAGGTTCTTCCAATGGGCACATGTGGGGATTATCTCAGGTAACGCATGACATCATCACATGGGTGTGGTCTCATTTCAGTTTTTTTTCAGAGCAATATATGATGACGTAAAAATGATAAATTTAATTATTAATTTAATCCATTATTAATATGATTGTAAAATATTTGAACTCTTGATATTTGTGTCTCGAGGAAGCAGAGAGAAATAAAGAAATGAATGAACTACAAACAATCCAGTGTTATGATAATTAGATATTATAATATCTTATTAAGTAAATATTGTATTTCTTTTAACATTACTTTCAGTAAATATCTTATTCTATTCTGAACGTTTAATTACCTCAATATTATATTTTGTTAGTAATCATTTTATCATATTACTTTTATAACATTATTATTATGACAATAACAAAAATTATTTCCATCAATAACAGAAGTTTCAGTGTTTTTATTTGTCATTAGTTTCATTTGTGTCTGCCTCTCCTCTTCATCAGCTCCATCCAATCTATGGGAGAGCACTGGGCAGGAAGTGGCCTCGGCGCTCTGGGCTATGGGCCTCCCGACTGGCCCAGTGGTTACCATGGAAACAAGGAACAAAGTTGGCGCTCGGGAGGCACTGAAAGTGATCAAGGAGGCCGACAAGGTCAAAGGTCAGAACTGAAAGATCTTATCGGGGGCCAGAGTGAAAAAATATTCCTAATATATAACAATAATTCATATTTAACAGATATACTGCAAATGTCATATTGAAATATTCTGTAATTAGATGAAATTAGCTAAAAACAAATTTCAGAATCCATTTGAGTTCCAACAATTAGCATTAATTAAATTAAGAGAGAGGTAAAATAAATAAAGTAGATTAAGAGTAAAAGTTTTCTAAATATCCAAGATAAACTTTTTTCATCCTCAGAAAAAGATGATTATTAAAAAATGTTTAATAACAGTGTTTGAGCAACAGTTTTAATAAATTCAATTTTGAACCGACTTGGTATTTATCTATTTCTGACACATTTAAATCAGGATTACATTAAAAACTATTATTATTATTATATTTCTGTTGCAGTTGTGATCATGTGCATGAGCTCTGTTCTGATTGGTGGAGAGGATCAGAGAGAGCTCCTATTGGCTGCTCTGGACATGGGGATGGTTTCTGATGGATATGTGTTTATACCATACGACACTCTCCTGTACGCCATGCCGTACCAGGTGAGTGACTGACAAGTGACAAGTGACAACTTCAATCGAAACAGGTCAATAACTCATCAATGTCATACTAAAGCGATCAATCAACTAATGGAGCACTCAGAGAGTTTCGATCTCCATCAAGGCTTTGAATATTTTTATATATACTTCAGTCACCTTTTTATAACTTGTCTTTTAATTGTGTTGTAAAATGTTTGAAACTAAGTTCTGATTGGTTCATTTTCTCTCTTCTCTGTCAATCAGGAAACAGTGTTCCCTCAGCTGACCAACAGCACGCAGCTTCGTCACGCCTACAGCTCCGTTCTGACGGTTACTATGGCGTCTGACCAGAGTTTCTACGAAGCTTTTCGTCAGGCTCAAATCAGCCGAGAAATCCGGTCAGGAGTCGCTGCAACAGAGGTGAATAAACAACAAATACAAAATAAACAACTTCTACTACACAACATGAGTTTTGAAATGTTGGGTGTGGTGTGAACAGCTGTATAATTGGATCAACATAAATTATTTTATTCTTTTTTTTTTAATCAACTAATTTAGCAGGAGAATTTAGAAAAGCTTGTTTTACCATCTCAGATATTTACAGTTCATATGTAACGATTGTTTTGTTTTGACAAGTGAAGAAAGGAGCTTAATGTGACATCATTGGCGTTACCGTGAGTTAGCAAGACAACGGGACGATGAAGACGTGTCACAGGATTTGAGTATAAAATCACCAGGTTTGGTCTCGAATGTTTTCTGCAGGTATCTCCAGTGTTTGGAACTATCTTCAACATGGTGTACTTCGTTGCTAAGGCGGTGGAGGAGCGTCGTCAGGCAGGAGGTGGGCACTGGGTGATGGGTGACCACCTCTTCCAATCAGATGGAGGCTTTGATTTCCAAGGCTTTAATCAGGTCAGAGACATTTAACCTGACGTGAAGTAATAAGTGGTTTGATGACGAGACACAATGAAAACAATAAATATAAAAACACATGAATTAAAGATATTGTCTTTTTAAAACACACACCGATCCCGATCTTGATCCTGGTCAGATGACATCATCACTTTCCTCACTTCTACCCGTTGTTTCTCTCAGGTCTTGTACGGCGGTAAAGAGGGGCGTGGCCTGCAGGCCAGGTACGTGGTGTTGGATAGCGATGGCGACCGACTTGTGCCGACACATTCGCTCGCTTCGACACACACAGATGGGATGGTAGGAGGTCTGAGACCCCTGAGCCGCTCGTTCATCTTCCCCGGAGGAAAACCCCCCAAAGCCAGTTTCTGTTGGTTCAGTCCAGAGGAGACGTGCAGCACTGGTGAGTTACATATAACATGTTACATGTATGTACATGTAGAGGTGCTTGGAGCGCCCCCTACTGTCACATGGTAAGTAATCTCCTGTTTCTGCAGGAATCGACACAGTTACGATGATGTTCATCTTCCTGTTGCTCTGTGCTCTGATTGGAGCATTTTTCTACTGGATCAGGTGAAGGACACGGACACACGGACACACGCACACGCACACGCACACACACACACACACACACCACACACACACACACACACACACGCACACACAATGATAATATTTTTTATTAGAATGAAAATAATAACAAAGGTGACATCTGCACAGGATGTACAGGAGATCAGCCAACGTCACCAAACTGATCTTGACTCTAGACGACATCGTCTTCATTGACACTCAAGTCAGCAGGAAGGTCAGTGTCGCACTGAGCGCTGTGGTGATGTCATCACCTAGACGTCCGCAGGAAACCAACAATGACCTCATGTTGTTGTTGTTGTCATAGAAACTGAACGACGAGTCGATCATGAGGAGTCTTCTGGATATTAAAACTCCATTCCACTCGATCGCTCGAAGTTACCTTCTGACGTCACCTGAGTGTTCCAACATCGGAATACTTGAGGTACAATTTTCTCACTGTCTCACTGTGTACTTGTCTCACTCTGAAACTGTCTCACTGTGTACTTGTCTCACTCTGAAACTGTCTCACTGTGTACTTGTCTNACTGTCTCACTGTGTACTTGTCTCACTCTGAAACTGTCTCACTGTGTACTTGTCTCACTCTGAAACTGTCTCACTGTGTACTTGTCTTGCTGTCTACCTGTCAGTAAATCAATCTGTCTAATTGTGTATTGCATTGCTCTGATTGGTTGCATTGTTACCAGGGCGACTGGGTTTGGATTAAGAAGATTCCTGCTGGAAAGACGATGACAGCTGTCAATCAAAACACCCAGAGTCTGTTTAACCATGTACGTAGATTTCATGTTGACTTATTGAATATTATATTGATTTGTAAACTTTTCAGAATAAAAGCTCTGTAATTAAGCTCATTATAGAGCATAAAAGCAACAAAATGAACCTGGTGCTTTTACTTTGATGATAAATTGATGAAGAGGAAATTATATTGTGAATATTATTGTCATGATGGAGATCAGCTCCCGTGAATGTCAGTCTGATAAAAACAGTTCCCCATCGACATCAGAACAGCAGAAAGTCTAAACATCTTCCATCGCAGACTAAAGACTCATCCCTTCAGACTACACCTTGGATAAAAAAAATAAAATTCAATTAAAATTTTTATGGCACAGACATGTAGAACTTTGTAGTTTGGCTTTTTTTGTAGCAAATTGTAATGACTTGATTCTTGTTGTTCTGGTTTGTTCCTCATGGTTGCTGCACTTATTGTGAGTCGCTTTGGATAAAAGAATCAGCTCAATGTGATGTAATATAGTTGCTGACCACTGGTATATTAATTCATTTGTTGATTCGTTTATTTAGTATATTGATTGATATTCAGATGAAGATGTTAAAATGCTCTGTGCTATGTTCAGTTACGGGAGATGAGACATGAGAACCTGAACTTGTACCTTGGACTCTTTCTGGACTCTGGGATCTTCGCTCTCATTGTCGAACATTGTCCTCGAGGAAGTTTGGCCGATCTGCTCGCAGACGCCACCATGAGGCTGGACTGGATGTTCAAGTCCTCGCTGCTTATGGACCTCATCAAGGTGCTGCTCAGACACTAATAATAATAATCATGTTCATAATATCAATGATAAATAATAATAATTAAATTGTGTGTGTGTTTCAGGGTATGAAGTTTCTTCATCTTCGAGGTTTGAGTCACGGTCGACTGAAATCGACAAACTGTTTAGTTGATGGACGTTTTGTTCTGAAAATCACTGATTACGGACTTCCCATGATACTTCACTCTCAGAGCCTCAGTCTCTCTGAGGATCAACAAGGTAAAACATTGTATATTTTGATTTATGATTGAGTTTATATATGTTAATGTATGTTTATCCCCTGGGTAAAATGTTCTAGAAAACACAAAACTGTAGAAAACCTTCCAGGACTACACTAATAATATGTTTACATCAAACACAAAGCAAATGGTCTTGTTTCGTTAACTGCGCGATTTGTGTTGCAGGATAATTTGTGTTTATTTCACGTTTATTTTCAACCAGTAACAATTAAGATCACCCGATAACACTGGTAGATGCCAGGCTGGTGAGTTTCCTTGTCTGAGCCATTTGCATCTATTCGCATCTTTCCATTGACTGTATAAAATTTACGTTGGGTTTTGTGTGAACACGACATAACATTGGTGTCAGTCGAAAATATGTAACTTGTACATAGTGTCTGTTAATTGAGGAACTTTTCTATAGTTTGACAGCACATGACACGAGGTGAGACAGGATGTCTTTCATCTGATTCGTCCTTTCAGAGCATCCACGCATTTCTAACAATATGATTGGTTAAGAGGCCAGTCTAACACATAGAGAAGAGCATTTTGTCTGTCTGTCTGTCTGTCTGTCTGTCAGTCAGTGTGTCTCCACCTCTCTCTCTCAACCTGTCTGTCTTTCTCCACCTGTCTGTCTGTCAGAGCTGCTGTGGTCTGCTCCGGAGCTTCTGAGGAATCCGGTCCGTGGAGGTTCGTTTGCCGGAGATGTTTTCAGTTTCTCCATCATCATACAGGAAGTGATCTCACGCACTCTGCCGTACGCCATGATGGACATGCCTGCCCACGGTGAGACAGGATGGTCGAGGCACTACCTGTCTCTCTGTCTCTCTCTCTCTCTCTGTCTCTCCCCTGTCTCTCTCTCTCTCCCCCATCTCTCTCTCTCTCACCTGTCTGTCTCCGTCTGTCTGTCTGTTAGAGATCGTGGAGCGTCTAAAGATGCCCCCTCCACTCTTCAGACCGATGGTTTCGGTGGACGAAGCTCCGAGCGAATGTCTGAGTCTGATGAACGAATGTTGGAATGAAGATGCGAGTAAGAGACCAAGCTTCGACGACATTTTCAAACAGGTTGGAACAGCTACCACCTGCTGGCCACTTGACAAACCGCACAATTTAATAAAAAATCCACAATAAAAACATCACTGTGTGTTTTACATGAAGTCGAATATGTGTATGTGTGTCTGTTTGTATTGTGTGTTTTGTGTTAACATGTTGATTTGTTTGTGTGTCTGCAGTTTCGGGGCATAAATCGCGGGAAGCGTGCGAACATCATCGACTCCATGTTGCGGATGTTGGAGCAGTACAGTTCAAACCTGGAGGATTTGATCAGAGAACGAACGGACGAACTGGAAGTCGAGAGGAACAAAACAGAGAAACTGATCGGACAACTTCTGCCAAAGTACGACATCAGTAAAACCTTGAAAGAGAGCATAGGTTTGACACAGCAGTGACACCTGATGGCTGTGCAGTGAATCAGATTATGTTTTTTAAGTTTCCATCAGTATCACAGTTATCCACTGACAGTTTTCTGTACATCACTGAATTTAGTAAATCAAACTTCATTTTTCTCCTGGTCCTAATACTTCGACCAGGTTGGTGTTTATTGTTAAAGTATAAAGTGAGTGCAGATTAGCAGGAGTCTGGTGGGTGGACACCCAGACAGGAGGCTGACCTGGTACAAACCTTCGGCTGCTTCTGCTCGGATCTTTAAGCAGCAGAACTAATCGTTGGTTCAATCTATATGTTTATTACTCAGGTTGGTGGTTAATGTATGTATGTGTGTCTATACATGTATGTATATGTTGTATATATTTGTCATTGTTTCAGATCAGTGGCTCAGGCTCTGAAAAAAGGGAAACCAGTTCGGCCTGAACATTATTCAGATTCAACTCTTTACTTCAGTGACATTGTTGGATTTACAACCATCTCAGCTCTCAGTGAGCCAATTGAGGTATCTGCTCTCTTACATCTTGTTTTGTTGTTATGGTGCAGCAGTGTGGAACGATGAGGTTAGGATTCCTTCTGTGTTAATGTTGAGAAGGTTTTTGTTGTGGACTGAATTCTCCTCAGAGTTGTCATCCTCTCCAAAACACACCCTCTAACCCTAGAGCTGCTGATTCAATCCAGTAAAAACACTGACCCCCAACCTTAACTTTTAAAAATCTGTGTTCTCCAATGCTTTTTGCCCGACTGAGGACGTCTCCGAGAACTTAAGATCTAGACGTCCAACGACTAAAATCCTTAATCTGCTTCAAATATAGAGTTAAAAAGCACCAAGATCTAAAAGGTGTACTGTGAAAATGTGACTTCAAGCTGGATAAAAAAAACAGTTTTCTCTCTCACGGATATGACGCCATTGACAGGCAACCAAGTGAAATGCACAGTTACCTTGATTAAAACTCCAGATTTCTCCAGGATTGAAAATGTAATGTAAATTTCATGGACAGTACAAGTCTAAATGATTTTATATGTTCGTCTTATAGTAGATCATTTTTAACTAAAAGTGTGTGTGTAGGTGGTTGACCTCCTGAATGACCTCTACACCATGTTTGATGCCATTATTGCAAGTCATGACGTCTACAAGGTAAAAACTGTATGTAATGTAACACAAGTGACCTTTAACCTTTGACTAAGATCATCTGAGAAGAGAATTGCTGAGATCAGTGTTTGTTCACTGAAATTGAATGATGCATCACAAAGTCAGTGCATCCATCAATGCTTTGTTTTCAGGTGGAAACGATCGGAGACGCCTACATGGTGGCGTCAGGTGTCCCAAACAGAAATGGAATCCGGCATGCTGCTGAAGTGGCCAACATGTCTCTGGACATCCTGCACTCCATTGGAGCTTTTAAGATCAAACACATGCCTGAGATCAAAGTGAAGATACGCATTGGCCTGCACTCAGGTACACACGCAGCCAGTCATGTCGTTAATACAGCGTCATATTGATCGAAGAGCAGAGCTGTTCACAGCACAGTGAACATCACTGGTCCTGCTCCCACTCTGTGGTTGACTGTCACCTCTGTTATGGCCCAATGCTCATTGGTGAACTGGTCAGCTGCTCAGCTTTGGTGCCTTCAGATGGGCAGAGGATAAGTCATATTGAAGAATGATGTGGTGACCACAGGTTGACCAGATGCAGGACAGGAGACACCAGTAAAGTCATGGAGGCATGTAACTGCCGATGAAGGGGGAGGGGGGTTAGCGTGTTACTAATATGTTCCTATTGTAATATTGCTGAATGCGCCTGTTAACTCGTCTGTTGTAACCACATCCTGAGTTCCTGCTGTGGTTTTTTCACATCTTGAAACTCAAAACATCTGATTTTATGCCTTTATTGAGGTTTGATTCATGGTCAAGGACACAGACACATGCATATATGATATGAATCAGAAACATATGTTCCAGCTGCAGCTTCCACACGCTCTGGGCGTGTTGACTGAACATGTGACCTGTGTATGTGCTCAGGTCCCGTTGTAGCTGGTGTGGTTGGACTCACGATGCCCAGATATTGTCTGTTTGGTGACACAGTGACCACAGCATCACACATGGAAGCCACTGGGCTGCGTACGTAAAAACAGCCTGATCTGACTGTGATGTTTCTCTTGTTTGAATGATTGTGAGTCAAGATAAAGTGTGAACCTGATTAATGACATGAACTTGAAGCAAGTTTTTTTTGTGTCCAGCCTACAGGATCCACATCAGTCTAGGCACGATGAAGGTTCTGACCAGCCTCAAACTGGGATATCACTTCGACACCAGGAAAGCTAAGGTCTGATTACCTGCTCTTACCTTTCACACATTTATTTTACAATATATAAAATTACTTTTACACAAATTAGATAGAATGTATTCATCAGCTGAAATTGCTGATGGTGGTGGTGGTGGTGGTGATGATGATGATGATGATGAAGATGATATACTGATGGAGATGATGATAAGGATCTAGGTGTTTTTTTTTTCCTCCAGGTGAAGGGCTCGGAGGACACCTATTGGCTAATTGGTCAAGATGGTTTCACTAAACCTCTTCCTGTTCCTCCAGACCTGACCGGAGGGTAAGAGGTTGTTTAATTAACACACGTGTTCACATGATCATTTGTATTTAGATACATCTTAACTCTGTCTCCCTCTTTCTCTCTTCCTGTCTGTCATGTCTTTCTCTCTCTCTGTCCGTCATGTCTGTCCCTCTCACAGGGCCAGTAACCATGGTATCAGTCTCGATGAGATTCCAGTTGAGAGACGTCAAAAATTTCTGGACCGACAGAAGATAAAGAAATAATTTTCAAACACACGCACACTCTACCTCAAACTTTGTGCTTTACAGACATTTTCTCAGCCAATTAAACATTTTCAGCCAAATTCAATAAAACTTGTGGAACCTTAAGAATTGTAATGGTTGTGAAAGCAGAATTGAACAGGGAGGGAAATATAAAAAATAAAAATAACATCTGGAAAGTCATTGTCTTATGTCACTTCATTAGGTTTATATTGAACCACCAGTCATTTCTGTGCCTCGTGTGGTTCTGATACTGGTCAATACACAAAATTTTAGACAAGTTCAAACTGTTGCTCGTCCTCACATCGTAGATACTCAGTGTCACAGTCTGTGATATTTCTCAAACCTTCAACTTAAATTTAAACATTTCTCTGAGTCAGCCACAGTTTTCTTCTGATTGTTGTCGTTCACCAGTCTACAGTTTTTTATTCTTTGAGTCTTTCGAAAGTTAGGATGAGTGATGGAGGATGCAGTCATGATTCATTTGAAGATGTGTTGTTTCTTGATGAGCGGAGTCAATGAGACACTTCAGTTCATGATCAGTTGAGTGAATGATACTAAATTTTATCACAGGATCAGCAAACCTGTGAATTAATGGTTTATTTCATGTCATGTGATCACAAATTATTAGGAGATAAATCATCAGTATTTTACTTTTATAACCAAAGACAAAAACAAAGTGATAGCATGAAATATAGTTCATATGATGAAACAACCCAAACCCTTTGGCCAAATGTTTTTTAAAATTTACATTAGAATAAATGAGACACAGGTTTAGTTCAACAGTCCTGACTGGTCCAATAAAGTGTAAGTTCAAGGCATTGCAAAAAGGTGAGATCCAGGGAAACATGTTTAATCATTTTAATTTTACTCTGCAATTGTTCAGTTATTCTTGTATCGTGATGTCAGTGTTTGTCATTTTACCAAGAAAATAATAAAATGTTCAGCCTGTAGTTCATCTGTCTTTTTTAAGGACTTAATAATGTTAAATAATCTGGGTTAGGGTTAGAAAAAATATCTTGATGACACCCCCTGCTTCATCCGACGACTGGGCAGTCGAAACGGGGTGCCAAAGGCGATGCAGTGGCCCATGCACACTGTCAATACTCTCCATTCTCACAATCCCCTGACCGAGTTGGCTTTAAAGAAGAAATGTTTTTTCTGTTTATGATTTAAAATTTAAGGCTAGGATAAGGATGAACTGGTTAGGGCTACAGGATTAATTTGGTTAGGGTTAGGATTTAGGTTTTAGGTTAAGGGTTATGGTTACGCATGGAATCCACTGGTTATGTTTAGGCAAGGCCCCCACTGGTTAGGTCTAGGCGTGAGAGCCACTTGGTTAGGGTTAGGATCTAGGGTTAGGGTCAGGGGTAAGGGGGTTAGGGTTAGGGGTTAGGGTTAGGTGTTAGGGGTTAGGGTTAGGCTACAGGATGATAACCACACTGAAGTGGGCCCTTCTTGAATAACTTTTTTTCTGAAGGTCGTAGAGACTTGAAAGTTGGCTCCGCCTCTACTAATTTGGGTATTCCCGATTGTTTGGTACCATACCCGAGTCTCTACGACCTTCGGAAGGGTATAAACTGTGAAAACCAGGGGGCAGTAATGAGTCATTTTCAGGATACCTTTTATGTCCGACAGATCGTGGTTCCAAGTCTCTACGACCTACGGTTCCAGAGATATTGGCGAAAAACGACTCCCCATTAAAAGCGAATGGAGCAGTCAGAAGTGAAAATTTCCCCAAGTGTGGAGATGAAAATCTTTCCTACTGAATATATTATAAATGTTATCATTATATACTGTTATTATTATTACATACTGTTGTTAACAGGGTTAGGGTTAACCTGTTAGGGTTAGGGTTAGGGGTTAGGGTTAGGGTTAGGCTACATGATGATAACCACACTGAAGTGGGCCCTTCTTGAATAACTTTTTTTCTGAAGGTCGTAGAGATTTGAAAGTTGGCTCCGCCGCTACTAATTTGGGTATTCCCGATCGAATGGTACCATCCCCGAGTCTCTACGACCTTGGGAAGGGGTCGAACGAGGAAATTCCCCGAAATCTGAGGAGATATTCTTGAATAACTTTTTTTGTGAAGGTCGGAGCGACTTGCAAGTAGGCTCTACCACCACTAATTTGGGTATTGCGCATCGATTGGTACCATCCCCAAGCTCGTAGGACCTTGGGAAGTGGTCGAACGAGCAAATGGGAAAATTGACTTTTGGGGAATGTCAACACATGTGCTGACGGAGATATTCTTGCAATAACTTTTGTTGTGAAGGTCGGAGCGACTTGCAAGTAGGCTCTACCCCCACTAATTGGGGCACTGCGCATCGATTGGTACCATCCTTGAGCATCTCCGAGCTTCGGAAGGAGTCGAA